GAATTATGCCTGACCATTATGCACGTCTGATCTGCAACTACAGGAAACGTTTGGTTGAAGTTATTGCTGCCAAAGGAGGTTCAACCAGTTATTAAATCCAAGGGTTCACATACTTTTTCCACCTGCACTGTGAATGTTTACATGGTGTGTTCAGTAAAAACATGGCAACATTTCATTCTTTGTGTGTTATTAGTTTAAGCAGACTGTGATTGTTTACTGTTGTGACTTAGATGATGATCAGATCACATTTTATGACCAATTTGTGCAGAAATCCATATCATTCCAAAGGATTCACATACTTTTTCTTGCAACTGTATGTCTCAATGTTTGCTAAAGCGATGTATCCTTGTTGCTTGAACTCAATAAAAACAATATTTGAGAGCTAAAAAAAGGCAGTTTCACTCTGGTTAGAAGGATTTTTTTTACCCTCTTTCAAAATGTTTGAGGTGCAAGAGGGAAATCCTATCTGCACAATGAGAAGTATAATTTGCTACAAAGGGACAGTTTGGTCCCCAGTATTGAAACAGTAAATGTCCATTGAGGATCCTGTTCTTTGACTCCTGGGGATACAGATGGTGATTGTGTTTATAATGGGCTGTGTGCATTTAATGAGGACATAAAATACATGTATTATCTCACACTTTAAAAAGGACAGACTGCAAAATGAAGAGCCAGTATGAGGTATTGTGAATACCAACAAGACACAGATTTTTCAGTGTCCTTCCATTATGAAAACTACAATTCCTGTTTATCGTGCACATTATATGACTGGGTGCATTTTCTTGCTACTGCAGTTCCTGTACATACATCCCCACAATACTCTCTGATCTTCCTGTGCTGCTAACCAGTGCACTCTGTTATCGCAGTATTGACATCCACAGACCTATTCTGCTATTCCAAGCCTGACAACCCCAAAATACACGCTACTGTTCCTGTACTAACACCCTAACAGAGCAAATGCACACTGCTGTCCCAGAAAAGAAATCTATGAAATGCACTTGGATTTTGTCTAGTGTAAACATGGGTCTCAGTCTGTACAAGGCAACTAGGAACTTGATCCTATTACTATTTATTCCAAAATTCTATTCGGAAGACCAGCAATGCAGACTGCCCGGCACAAAGCTCAGTGGGATGTCACAGCCTGGGGATATAATGGTCGGGTTGATATTACCTGTGCATATGGATAACTTGTATCAGCAAGTCTTCTTCAATGAGAGGCCACCTATGACTACATGTACCAAGTAAGTGCAGATTTATTTATTTATAAAATATTTTACCAGGAAAGATACATTGAGATTTCTCTAGTTTTCAAGTATGTCCTGGGTCCACAAATCATTGCATTGTTACATTAGGTACAACAAAATACAAAAACAATATTAATACACAATATATACAAAATTTAACATAGAACAAGCAGGAAATATATAATCAACCATGACACGTGCATTCTGTTTTGAGGTATGTAGAGAGGGATCTCTTAAATGACTTTAGGCTTAGGGAAGATTTTAAATTGTGCGGGAGGTTGTTCCACAATTGCGGTGCTCTGTAGGAGAAGGAGGATCGGGCCGCTTTCTTTTTGTATTGAGGTAGACTGAGTAAAGTGCTTGTACTGGATCAGAGCTTATAGAAAGTGGGAACAGCTGGGGAAAGCATTTTGTTCAGGTAGGGTGGGAGTTTCTCAGAAAAGCTCTTAAAAACAAGGCTGGAAAGATGAAGGGTGCGTCTGGATTCCAGCGACAGCCAGTTTAGTTCTTTTAGCATGTCACAATGATGGGTCCTGTAATTACATTGTAGCACAAATTGGCAGAACGAGTTATACAATGTGTTGAGTTTATTAATGTGGGATTGCGATGCAGATGCATATACTACATCCCCATAATCAATGATTGGCATCAGCATTTACTGTACAATCTTTTCCTTTACTGTAGGGCTTAGGCAGGCTTTGTTTCTGTACAGGGCACCCAATTTTGGATAAAGTTTAGATGCAAGCTTTTCTATGTGCAGGCCAAAAGATAGATTGGGGTCTAATATCATACCCAAGTATTTGAAAGAGTGGACTGCGGTCAGTTTAGTTTAATTTAATTGCGTGTGTCATTATTCATTTGGTTTACGGTTAATTACACCACACCACATACTGTGCTGAATATCCTATAACTGCATCCCACTATTGTACATCTCTAAATTATTCCTTAGGCACAAGGCAATTATGTAACGCACAAATACATTAACTGAAAGAGAATTATGGCTGTAGTCATCCAGAGATGATGATGTGAAGTATGAACACGTAATGTTTTTATAAAAAAAAACAGTGTTTAGCAGGATTGAGTGAAATCTTGTTTCATCTGACTAGCAAGAGTGATTAGTGTAAAAAAAGTTATAACTGAGCATGAGAGAAGTGATTAAAAAGGAGGAGAGTTGTGTCACAAACAGAAAAAGATTAAAGGAAGATATTCATAAACTGATTTAAAAGAGCCAGGTGATTTTTATTTTTGGTAAAACACTCTTAACTAATAACTTGATAACTGAAATGAAAGGAGAAAAAAAATTTGGCTAATATACACTGCATTGTGAGATCAGACATCTAGCGACAGTGATATTAACCCTTTCATTGCCATTATGGGAAATAAAAGATGTTAAAACAATACATGATGTCATCTTTAAGAACCAAAGCATTAAAATAAAAAGAGTTGTCTATTGGATCAAAGTTAGCTTTATTATTATTATTGTTTTTATATTGATATTTACAAAGCGCCAACATATTCCGTAGCATTGTACAGTAGGTACATTGTGAATCATTTTCCCTAGCACCTCTCTTTCATAGCCTACTGTCCCTTACCTGCACAGAATGTTTCCTATCGAGGACTTCGGGGGCTGAAATGCCGGATGTGAGACTCTTTAGCAGTTTACAGTTAGGGGAGTGTGCAGGCTGATATTAGTGTGTTTTTTGTGTGGTTGTTTTTTTTTTTAATTTTACATCAAACTTCTGCTTCTCAAAGCAGCCTCCTATTATGAAAAGAAAAATCAGTACTATAATATTCTATTAGGCTATGGAGTGGGGTAGACTGGATGGGGTGGCGCAGAGAAGATGACTATCGGGAGGCGCTGTTAAGGACCTGAACTTTCCAGCACACCCCTCTTTTAGCTATGTATCAAGGTGTGCTTGTTACCATGTATGCTTTAATTCATCATCAGCACATGATAGATGTGGACCATAGCACAGAAACGTGGGGATAGGTCACCTCTTTGCTAGTGGAGAAATCATTTAACATTGCTCCTGCTCACCTGACTTTACTGCTTATTAACCTTATTATTCTTATTGGCTTTAAAGCTTCTACTACGAGAGCTATCAGCAGTTTCAGACAGTGATATTTGCTATACAGGAAATCAACAGCAATCCTGATATTCTCTCTAATATCTCCCTTGGATTTCAAGCATATGATTCTTGTGGCCTCTTACAGCAGAGCGTGCAGGGAACCTTTCAGATACTGACGGGACGCAGTACGGCCATCCCTAATTACCGATACACTGGGAATGTACCTTTAAGTGCTGTCATTGGTCCATCTGCTTCTACACATTCTATTATAATGGCACATATTCTAGGGCTCCACAGATTCCCACAGGTAAGAGCTGAGATAAAGAGATCACATTATGATAAGTCTGCATGCAGCTATCCATATGGAAACCCCTACTGTAACAACTTTAAAATCCTGTCAGTGTTAGTGTTTCCAGAGCATTGTCAGATAATAAATTGGAGAATTATAGAGCAGGTTTAACATATTATGTTATTTTATTATCCATGATATTTACCTGTAGGTCAGGGATGAGCTATTGTCCGGGCTAGTTACCGTTTCTGTAAATAAACATAGCTTATGTCACCAGAGAATTGAACATTGCAGTGAGGCTCAGCAAAGCTCAGGAAAGCTACTATTATTTTAATATCCAATTGGAGAGATTTGTCAGAGTGTTCTAAAAAGTGGAGGAAGAATGCAAACAAGGAGGAACTTCCAATGGAAGTTGCATGGTTCCATTGGTTTCCATGAAGATTGTCTTACTTTTAGTATGTTAGCTTTTTAGAACATTTTGAGAAATCTCCAACAGTGGGTTCATGATGTGCTCATGAATCAGTGTGCAAATAGGTTTCATATGTAAAATCAAGCTAACTGTTATTACACCAGACATCTACACTGTGAAAAAAAAAATAACCATCATTTTACAATATGACAAGAAGCTTCATATATTGCATATCTTTCTTTACTTAACTCTATAGCAGCAAAGAAACATGTAGAAACAAACGAGAACCAATCAGAAACAAGTAGTGTATATACGAGGCACAGTGAACCCAAGCACCTCCTTTTTCTTTGCTGCTCTTTTTACTGTCTCTCTATATTGTACTATTGTGTCAATTTGCTGTATTGTGACTGCTGTTCATTTTATTTAATGCTTTAGGGGTTGTGTTAGTGTGGGATCTGTTTGTATCACTGTTTTACCTTTCTCTTTGCCTTCACAGTGGGCCTTATTTCTACCTTTCCTGGCAGGCTCTTCCTGCCCCACCTTCTCTGACAGGCCCTGCCTGCACACTGGGCCTTATTTGTGCCTTTCCTGGCAGCTCTGCCTGCCCCATTACTGTTTTTCCCTTTTAACTGTCAGAATCTGACTGCACACTAAGCCTTATTTGTCCCTTTCCTGGCAGGCCCTGTCTGCCTGCCCCACTACTCTTTTTCTTTTTTCACTGGCAGGCTCTGTCTGCCCCACACAATCTTACTTCTGTTGTGTTGTTTGTTTCCTCCCTTCCTAGTGGAATTGACCACTGTGTTACACTATTTGTTTGGCACTGGTCAATCCTCGGCTCTTCAGAGCTCATTAGTGGTTCACAGTGGCCATCTTCGATCTCCAGAGATCCATGGCAACCATATTTGTGCACCCACATGGTAGCAAGTGCCAATGATTAAAAAACTGACCACTCCTTCACACAGTGCCTGCCTGCAATACCACTCCAGCTTGTGCTTGATTCGGCAGCATATATATACTAAAATTAGAACGAAACAAAGAAGATTAGAATTCCCCTGTGCAAGGATGACGTTCAAAAACAAAATGTCCCTGAATTCTACAAATTTATACCTAGACCAAAATGATGGTCAGTCTATTGACCCTTGAGGTTTTAGTCGTATGTTGCCCTACCGGTTTATGGGATGTTCTTCCTTATCACCTATATACAATTATGCTGTTGAGGGGAGGCAGCTCTTGCTGTCTCCTATACTGTGTGAGCCCCAGTTGTTTCACCACCTGTATTATGTGGCCTGTACTTACTGTGCCTAATTTTATACTGCCAACTTGCCTGTACACTTTTGTCCATACCTCCTGTACCTGGTCTCACGCCAACCACTGTCCTTAGTGCATAATAGGTATTGCTGTGGTCTGTCTGCCTACATACTATTGCCCTTGGGGTAATTTATACATTAGGTGAGCCACAGTAGCCTGTGACTGTGATTGATTATGGTGGACTCCCAAAACCCTCCAGTAGATTTCCAGGCCATAATCGATGCAGCAGTAGCTGTTTCAGTAGAAAATGCCCTTTCCAAGGTGTTCCCAGCGAGCTCTGACCCTGCTAAAGTTGCCTCTGCCACCAAGCGTGCCCACTGTAGGACTAAATATGATCACTCTACCTCCTACCAGGGAATGTTTGTGCCAACTAAACACCACTAGAAGGGCGAAGGGACTCAACCTAAATCATCCAAAGGCAAAAAGACCTCCAAATGTAGCTTGGTTGCTGCTTCTAAGTGCTGCTTCAAATTGTGTGCTTGGAGATATTCTGGAGAGTTTTACTGATTCTTCAACTGTCTAAGATTTTGCTAAGATTGTTCTTTTTACTGTTAAGATGTTACTGTTTCTTTTTACAGGTAAGATTCATCTATAAGAAAGGGTTACTGATTGCACAAGCTTTGCTTTCCTGTTGGTTATTGGTAAAGTATTTGATTTGATTAGCAAGATTGTTGGTTAATTAGCTATTGTTTTCAAATAAGCATTGGCCAACCCGGGTGTTACACATTCTCAGTGGGTGGTGCATTTAGGAGTTATATAAGGGTTAGCGTGGCTAAAATAGCTTGGTTGCTGCTTCATAGTGTATGCTTGGAGATATTCTGGAGATAAACTGGAGATAATTTGAGGTATTCAGGAGGACAAAAAAAAGTTAAGATTTGTTTGATTTAAATTACTCACCTCATTAAAATGGCACACTTAGTTCGGTGTAATAGTTGTTATGCATTTGTTTCACGTTCCACTTTTTGGAGATTTGGATGCTGTCCAATTTGTAGACAGTTCTCTATATGGCGGCAGGAGATTGTATTTTTAAAGTCTGAGATTTGTAAATTATCTGTTAAACAAACTCAGGAAGGAACTGTTGCAAAGCCACTGGTGCAGAGACGGCAGGTGGATTACTGTAGCATCTGGTAGACTTAGAGTTGTGGATAAAAGGCATAATGCACAGTCTGCTGCTCTACATAATTCATTTTCAACACTTTCAGAGTGTAGTGGTGTTAAGGAGACAGTCTCAGGCACCGAGTGTAGTAGTGTTATGGAGAAAATCTCAGGCACTAAGTGTAGTGGTGTTGTGAAGATATGCTCAGGCACTGAGTGTAGTGGTATTGTGGAGACAGGCTCAGGCACGGAGTGTAGTGGTGTTGTGGAGACAGACTCAGGCATTGAGTGTAGTGGTGTTATGGAGACAGGCTCAGGCACCGAGTTTGTGGAACAACCATGCTCTATGTCAAAGTTGAAAACGTCTGCAGTCAATGACAAAAAGGATAAGGTGAGGCCTGATAAAAAGCAGTTTTTGTTGGGGATTCTATCATTAGAGGTGTGGAGTTGGACAATAATGGCTGTGTGAGATGTCTTCCTAGAGCTACTGCTCACAGAGACAGGCATAGGCGTGCGCACGGGGTGTGCCGGGTGTACCTCCGTGCTGCACTGCCTCTGGGCAGACTAACATGTCGGGTCCTTGGTCTATGACCGAAGACACGACACAGGAGGGGGCCCGGCGGCTTGCCCACAATGCCGCCGGGTGCGAGGCCCCTCCTGTCAGTCTGCCCTGACGGAGATCCAGCCTCAATCTGCAGCTCCGCCAGGAGTGAGCTGCAGACTGAGGTGTCTCGTGAGCTCCAGCTGGTCAGAGCATTGCCACGGCAACACTCTGACTGGAGATCGCGAAATTCACCATGTGGTCTGCAGCTCACTCCCGGCGGAGCTGCAGACTGAAGAGAGAGGGCGCCCACTGGACCACCAGGGAAGGTATTTAACCCCCTGTCGCTTACTACCCCCTTCTACTCCCTGTCACTCACTCCCCCACCCCTTTGTCACTTACTGCCCCCACCCCCTTCTACCTCCTGTCACTCACTGCCCCCCACCCAACCCCCTGTTACTGCCCCTTACCCCCTGCCCCTCTGCCCCAACCCCTGTCATTTCCCTCTACCCCCCTTTCATTGACCCTCCTCCCCATCCACTGCCACTGTCTCTCTCACCCTAACCCCTGTCACTGCCCATCTACCCCAACCCCTGTCACTACCCCTAGCCTGTCACTACCCCTCTACCCAACCCCTGTGCTACCCCTCCCCTCTACTAGCCTTGCCCCCCTACCCCCCTAACCTGTCACTAACCGTCTACCCCTCTACCTCCTGTCACTACCCCTTCATCCCCCTACCCCTCTAACCCCCAAACCCTACCGCTCCACCCCCCTGTCGCTACCCCTCCACAACCCTTCCACCTGTCACTGCCCCTCCACCCCTGTCGCCCACACAGGGCTCCCCTCACAATCATACACACTGTACCCCACACACACTGCATCCCTCACAATCACACTCACACTATACCCCTTACAATTACATGTACTGTACCCCTTACAATTACACACGCTGTACCCCCCACACACTGCACCCCTCACAATCATACACACTTTACCCCACACACACTGCATCCCTCACAATCACACACACACTGTACCCTCACAATTACACACACTGTACCCCTTACAATTACACACACTGTACCCCCCACACACTGCTCCCCTCACAATCATACACACTGTACCCCACACACACTGCATTCCTCACAATTACACACACTGTACCTCTTACAATTACACACACTGTACCCTTCACAATCACATACACTTCACCCTTCACAATTACACCACACTGTACCTCTCACAATTACACACACACACTGTACCCCTCGCAATCACACACACTGCACCCCTTACACGCTGCACTGCTCACAATCACACAAACCGCACCTATGTATATTTGTATATATATATATGTGTGTGTGTATGTATGTATGTATATATATATATGTGTGTGTATGTATGTATATATATATATATGTATGTGTGTGTATGTGTATATAAAAATACATATACACGCGGTGTGTGTTTGTGCTTTAGGGTGCACACCCTAATGCAACAGGCTGCGCATGCCTATGGAGACAGGAGACGTATTTGTAATATTGTTAAGTGAGTAAAGCAGAAAGGGGAATTGGATGTACTTGTCCATCTAGAGGCAAATGACTTGGCTTGCAATGAGGTTTCAGAGGTAAAGGAAGTTTTTTTTGTGGTTGCTTTCACACTGTCATTCTCTCTCTCTACAGAAAAACTAGCTGTAAAACAACTCCAAGTAGATAAAGACATTGTTATCAAACCAGCAGACAAAGGGGGAGGTCTAGTCATCCAATCATGTATATTGAAGAAGCATATAAACATATAAACAAGCATATAAACAACTAAATGATATTGCAATATACGAAAAAACTATCAATAGACCCAACATCCTCAATACAGGAAAAATAAAAAAAAAAAAAATTAACCACTTTTTTTAAAAAGGGACTAGATGAAAATATTTTAAATAAACATGAACATGATTATCTTCCTGTGTATGATTTGCTGAGAAGATTATAGTCTTAAAAAGTAACTTTTAATAAATAAATCTAAAATAAAAATGAAAAATAATATGAAAAATAATATGAACAGCAGGAGTGGGTGGAGACTAAACAGCGAGTAAAACTCTGTGACTACTTACATAAGCTGTAAAAGTGTCTACATGATAGCACTAATGCTGAAGCAATACTGTTTGCTACAATATAACATCAGTATATTTCCAAGTAATAGAAGTGATACTGCATTATATATAGTTAGGTGCCGACACCAATAATGTGTCAGTATGGGTCCAGAGCCCCTCTGATGAGCTTCACTGGCGAAACGTGCACGTCAGGGGCTCTGGACACATACTGACACATTATTGGTGTCGGCACCTAACTCTCTGCTAATCAATTGCTAAATTACCGACATCAAGTTCATTCATGTCCAGCATCTCAGGAGTGCAAATTGGAGACTCTTAACACTAATTTTGTGTACTCTGTACATACTTTATTTCTCTTTCTTTTTCCTTTATTACATTTATGGGGGGAGATTGATAAGACCAGGCATTTTATTAAGGGGTGCCCTCGAAGGCACAAGACTCAGGAATCTTTATTCTAGACGCCTTCCTCTGTCACTGTCTGTATATTTTCTACCACCTAGGCAACTTGTTCAAAACTGTTTGTAAACCCTCTCTTTAGACTTTGACCTATTATTTAGATGCAGCTAGCACTTAGGCAACTTGTGTGACTTTTAACCGGTTAACTGCTGCCTGTCAGCAGTCCTTCACAGCTGGGCTACTACTTTGTGCTCCGCTGTGGTCAAGCATAAGATAACATAATTCAGTGCAGGCAGCCGTTGTTACGCGAAAATATACTGCTAGGTATCTTGCAGAAAAAACGGGGCCAGTTCAGCAACCCCTTATTTTACACTTTACTGCTTGACAGTAACCTTTAATTTATTATCCATACGCTGCTATGATCTAGGCAGCTTTTGTGATATTTAACTGGCTAATCGCCGTCTGTCAGAAATCTGTCTCAGCTGAACCATTATCTTTGATCTTTTTGAGGTTAAGCACCATAGAACATTATCAATTGTACCATGTCATTAGTTATACTATTATGTAGGGATTTACTTATCCATATACCTTTTAACTATTGACAGCACTGGTTTAGCAGTCGTCTTATCTCCCCCCTCTTGTTACAGCTATTAGT